TCCAGCCATCCACTAAAAGCCACCATGCAACCAGAGTGGAACAGATCTTCCCAAGTCCTATCATCCCCCGAGATGCCTGTGAAAGCTACATTACAATAGTCCCGCCTGGACTATTGTAATGCTCTATACATGGGGCTCCCTATGAGGAGCATCCGGAGGCTTCAGCTGGTCCAGAATGCGGCCGCGCGGGCGGTGTTGGGAGCGACGCGTCGCTCCCATGTAACACCGCTGCTGCGCGAGCTGCACTGGTTGCCAGTGGCCTTCCGGGTACGCTTTAAGGTGTTAGTTACCNTCAGCAAGCGGGACTGACCTAGGGTGAATTTTAAATAGGGAAAATTTTTAAAGATTTTAATAATGTCACAGCTATAAATATTTGGTTTTAATTGGCTTTTAAAGGGGAAATGTTTTTGTGTTGTTTTAATGTGCTGTGAGCCGCCCTGAGTCCCGTGGGGAGAAGGGCGGCATACAAGTTAGTGTTAAATAAATAAAAATAAAAGAGGAAGGAAGGAGTCCTGGAGCCAGTGGCCTCCATGTGAAGCCTCAGAAGACAACTGGAAAGACTATGGGGGGAGGGCAGAAACTCATTGTAAGGTTTTCTTTCTTGCCCCATTTGTGTTGTAATTAAGCAGTTGAAGGGATTCATGGAGGGATGGCATTTGGGAATAGTTGGGTCGCTGTGCGCGGGGGCCGATGGTGTCAGGCAGTAGCCGCCCCGGCCCCTGCCTCGCCTCGCCTCACCCCGCAGGATGAGCCTCCTGCCCACCGTCCCACCCGCCAGAGATGCCCTGGATCTCCCCCAACCCTGCCCAGCCCCCACAGGCATCCCTCCCCACGAGCAACATCGAGGTGGCCAAGCCCACACCCACCCAGTCTGCCATGACCACTGCAGCCACGCCCACCCAGTGGGCCACGCCCACCCGGCACCTGACGTTAAATAAGTGGGGTTTGGGTTGCAGTTTGGGCACTTGGTCTCTAAAAGGTTCGCCATCACTGGTTTAGACCAAGTTTGATCCAATATTCTCCAAAAATAATATAGAATAATATAAAAAGAAGAAGAAATTTAAAACTCCCCAAACTTTTCTTTTTTCTGTTTCTCTCTGTTATATCTACAATGATGTTGTAGACTTCTCTGTTTCCTCCAAATCACTTAAACCGTTGCCTTTTTCTGGAGGGAGGGATAACCCCCCCCCTTAACTCTCGGAAATTGCTTTTGGATGGTTTTTTTTCCCCCAGAACAGGTTTTCACTTTGTAGAGAAAAAAGAAAAATAGTCTCACCGAAGTCCAAAATGTTGCTCACGCTTGTTTTAAATTGCTTTTCCTCCCAGCTGTCAGCAGCTTCTGACTGGCTGCGTAGATAGAGCCAGTCTTTCTCCTGCCGTTCCGGAAGGCTCCTTGGATCAAGCAGGTCAGCTACCGCCTTCCCGCGATCTGCAAGGGTCCCCTCTTGGTCTGTCACCTCTACAGGGTGATTTTCAGTCCTTTTAGGACCCACAGCAGACCGAAACATTGCTTCACTTCATGAATGTCTTTCTCTGCTCTCAAGGCTATGGAGTTGTCTTCAAATCGGGTTCTCAACCCCCTGACGAATAGGTTGAAATTCCATAGTTCAGGTGCTTGCTTGTTGTACAGACTATTGAGCCAATCAGAAGCCTCTCCCTCCAGGTTAGCTGCAATGACATCAACCATTGCCGCCTGGTCTGGATAGGCGTTGCCATTGCGGTTCACATAAAAACACACTTGATTCAAAAAGAAAGTTAACTTCTCAGGGTCCCCATCAAATGTAGCTTTTTTGGGGGGGGGGGGACAGCCATGCGTTGCTGTCGTTGTTGTGGTTTCATCTATCAGAACCATGACATTCTGATTAGTAGTATATCTTCCTCCTTTTCTCTTACTTTATTAGACATACAGTATATCTATTTTTCCTTTCTGTCATTACATTTGTTAATTAATGCTGGTTACCATTTCCTCCTTTTGTGTTATGTTTGTGAAGAAAATGTGAGTGTGGTGTATGATTTTATGACTGGAGAAACTTAAGAGGAAATATTTTACTTGTTATTTCTTTTATCAGAAAGATCTCTCTGGTTGGGCATATGGGTTTTGTTGTTTGTCCTTCAGGAGAACATGGGCATAGGTGTTAAATTCCCATGCCCTTTAAATGTGGATTGGTTTCAGCGATGGATTCCTGCCTGTCTGAGCCCTTTGTACTGCCGCCTCTTTAGCGCTCCAAGTTATTACTTTCTCCAGTTATCTAAGGTTGGGACAATGTATCTCCGCTATTGCGAATTTAGCGAATAAAGGTTTGCTTTCTGTAATCTATCTCCATCTGCCAGTGATCACAACATTTGAGTTTATTACTTTCCCGGCTTTCGGAGGTTATCGAATACATTGCATCTCCATCTTAATTGGTTAAGGAAACATTGTATTTTATGAATGGAAGCCACCTTTCTCCAGTAATAAGCAATGCCAGCAGACGGCATAATCGGTTTAAAGGAAAATAAAGAGAGTGGGGTGTTTTCTTATGGGTATTTCTTCTCACTCCTGTGGAAAGAAAAATCTTCATCAGGGTCCAGTCTAAGTCGGGAATAAACAAAATGGAGACTGCTTTAGAAAGGTTCTAGTTTATTGAAGAGCAGAACCACAACAGCATGTGGCTCTGGAGCCGCTGACCACATGGTGCTGGGAGTGGTGGGTTTTTATACCTTCTTGGGCTTTTGTGTTTGGAGTTGTTCCTGTTCCTGTGGCATGAACTTTGACCTGACGTTCAGTGTGCCCTTTTGGTAGTCTAGTGGTGCTGGGTTAATCCCATTATGTCCTAAAGGTCACCTCTTTAGATATTGGGTGTGGGGTGTAGATTTTTAGGGGTCTTTGTCTTTCTAATCCCATCAGCTCCAAGCTTCCAGGCTCCAGTCTTTCTGAGAGGATTATCACATCTGCATTTCTACAGACCTGGCCTGCTGAGTTTCTGTCTGGGGGAGAGGGAGAAGTTTCTGCCTTTTAATATCTTCTCCATTATTCCTTTGGGGAAATATAATATTCTGCCTTTTTAATATTCTCCAAAATATTTCTTTCTCTCTGTGTGTGTGTCTTCCTACACTCCTTTAGGAAAATTTTCCTGTGGGGTCTCCTGATTTGGGGTGGGGTTCAAAATAAAACTGTACACTAGCTTTGGGCAATCGAGGTTGATAAAAGCTGTTTATATTAGAACTGACAGGTTATCACAATTAGAAGCCTTTCAAAGCAATCCTTGATGGAGAGCCCCGTGAAAGAAAGTCATTCATTTGTGATGTTGCAGTTGTATTCATCCACCTTTCCCAATCCAGGATCTTCCAAGATATCAGTTGGGGCACTAACTTTGAACAACCGAATTATGGACCTGGCTCAGAACAGAAACTCAACGATTTTAAAGGTTCACTGGGAACATCGACTAATGGAGCCACAGCTGTTGAGGTATGTGTGTTGAAATTCAAAGTGTACAAATATACTTTTTTCTGCATTCCCAAGGTGATCTGATTTTGGAGGTGTTCTCGGAATCATTTATGTTTTAAGAATACCTCATACGTTGTAGGAGGCGCTGTATCTGTGCTAGGCATCGCTAATATATTAGAACAGGCTAGGTAAGGCGGGAAGCTCTTCAACCTTTGATTTTATCTAGCTCCTGCCGAACTTGCGTTACTCCTCTCCGCCTTGATCTTCTCCTCCTTCCGCCTAGTCAGTGTTGCCCCGCCCCTTCCAGGGCGCTTCTTTTCCATCCCTCAATGGCGGTTGGCGCATGCGTATTGCCGGGAGGCGGTCTGGGCTATGGCGGTCGTTTAAAGGTAACCGATTAAGCAGAACTGGGTTTTTGCACCGAATCCCCCCTTTCCCACTCCGCCATGTTGTCAGAATGTGACAAAATTCCACATTAGGAAACGCCTGGAATTTCCCGCGCCTCCCGTAGACGGTTCAGGTCACACATCTGCTAGCCGGCCCCTCAAAATTTTAAGTATTCGAGGAGGGGAATTTTTCTTATGCCCCTGCGCCTTGCAGAACCTATATTTATCCCCCACCTCACCTCCGCTAATACTGCGGGACGTTTCAATCTTGCTTGTAAAAGTAGCCCTTCTTTACCGTAATATTTTTTCCACCTTAATCATTTTATTAATAAAGAGTGGGTAAAAATAACCCCTTCATTTCATCTGTGCTCTCTGGATATGGGGCTACCTTATTCCCAGAAAGGGTCTGGGAAAGGCTGGTAGGCAAACGAGGTACTCTGGAGGGAACCCATTAGCTTCCCATTTCCAGCGTAAAAGACACATCACGTGTTGCAGACGGCTCCTCATGTAGACTGGCAAAGGTAACCTTTTCCACGTTCTTGGGGAAGGTTGCTTCCCAGTGAGGAGGTTCCGCTAGATAGGAGTGTTTGCTTGTTGTTCATTTGCACAGGTCGATTGGAAGCTGGGCTGGTCACCCCACACACTTCCCCTCTTATTCTTGCTGGGAGGGCGAGGAAAGACGTAATCCCCTTCCCCGATTTGTCCCCCTCACCCACATACCCACTGGGCACCGCTGTGTCCGTTAGAAGGAAAGAAACCAAAAGCCACCGTTCACGTGCCTCCTTCCAAAAGAACCGGGTGTGTGTGGGTGAAGCAAACGCGCCCCTCCCCGATTCCTTGCAGAAGAATCTAAGACTGATCTAAGCGGCCCCTCCATTCTGGAGAACCAGCAGGGCCTCCGCTTCGCTTTTCCTACATGAGCAGGGCTGGCACTCCTGTAATCTGGAAAAAGAGGAGCAAGAAAAGCAAAGAGATGGTTCAGTAAAGAGATGGTTCTGGTACTAGCGACAGGGAACAGTGAAGGTTGGTGAGTCGGGAGGACTGGCCGGGAGAAGGTGGCGTAGGAAGAAAGGGAGGCAATGGGTTTTGGTGGGGCGGGTGGCGGCGCCCCCCAAGGCGTCCAGGTGGGAAATTTGGACCGGCAGCGGAGAGGGGGAGGCGGAGGAGCCTGAAGGTGCTGCATCGCCATGAGATCGACCGTCTATAAAGCAACTGCGACAACGACGGGGACGGGCTTACTGGAGCCTAGCCCGAAGGAAGAGGAGGAGCTGCCACCGCATCTTCACCAGCCTCCGCCTCTCCGGCACAACCAGATTCCCGTGGCTGCAGCGGCAACAGGCCCCAAGGCCCGGTCTATCGTTCCGGTAGCCGCGGCTCCCGGAAAACAGGAAGATGGCGACAGTGGCTGCTGTTGGGGTGGCCTAGTGCCCTCGCCGTGCCCGAAAGGCAGTACTCGGCAAGCGGGCGTGGGCGATGCCGCCGGTAGCTCCCGCCCCTCCAAGTACCAGGCAGTGCTACCCGGACATACCGCGGACTCCCACACCGGGCCTGGAGGAGCTCCAGCGTCTGTCTCGCTGCCGCCGCTACCGTCGTCGATTTCCGCTACGGTCGAACCCGGGCAGCCTCCTCCACCCCCAGCAGTGGCAGCGGTGGGTTCTCCGGTTTCATCGGAAGCCAGCGGCAAGTGGAAAAGTGCTAGTAGTAGCAACAACACCGGGAGTGGCGGCGGGAGCAGCCTTCGGAAGAGCCCCATGGGGGCCGGTGGGGGCAACTCCAGCCAGGCGGCCTGCCTCAGGCAGATCATGCTGCTCCAGTTGGACCTTATCGAGCAGCAGCAGCAACAGTTGCAGGCCAAGGAAAAGGAGATCGAAGAACTCAAAGCCGAGAGGGACACAGTGAGTTGGGTGTTGGGAAATGTGGGTTAGAAGGGGTTAATGTTCAAGTTGGTTAATTAAATATTGGTGTGCACTGATTTTCGAAGGGTTAACTTCGGGATCCTGGTGTCAACAGTGGGAGGAGTTAATGTAAAGCATGGCGTCTAATGAAGGGATGCACATGCTTAGAGTGGATGTGTAAAAAGATGAGATAGGGTGTATTGGCACTGATAATACATAAAGGGTAAAGGGATGAGAGTACAGTATATGATTTTGGCACCTATTTCTGGGAATGAGTTCCTGTAGATACAGGGAGAGTTAAGAAAGAAGGATTAAGAATTGAACAGAAATATCCCCCACCAATCAGAATAGTATGCATGAGTAGAAGAGTTGGTAAAGAGATTAGCATAATTGGGGATTGGCTCCTGAAATAGAATCAAATATAGAAACTGTATGCGAGAGATTAACTGTGGCAAGGAAATTAGAGCTTAAAATTTAAAAATGGAGTTCTACTTTCTGTATAAGGATAAGCTACAGTACGACAAGCCCAGCAATACAAGGTGTACCTGAAGTGTTACAGCTTGGTACTTAATTGGACCTGTAATATTGGTATGTGTAAGGTTAAGCAACCCATAGGGTTAATAGCCTAGGATTTAAATCAAGAAGCCTGTTTGATGATTTGGCTATACCTAATAGGTGTGGTTAAGGACACTAGTACAGCCCAGATAGTAATATTTGGGCATGGATTTTGGAAGGATTGCAGCTATCTAGGAGGAGGGTGTGTGGCCCAAGGGCAGGAAGGCATTGGCAACAAATGGGATTAATTTAAAGCAACAGACTGTTCTTTGGGGAAGTATGTGGCACAAGATGAGTTAATTTAAAGGGGACTGTTTGGGACAGCAAAAACAATCATCTGCAGCTTATGCCATGTGGACACCAAGAGGGGAGAGGGCCTTTTAACTTATGTTTTAAAGGAGGATTACAGATGTAGGTTTAGTACTATCTTCCATCTCCTTTCTTCTGATTTCCTTTCATTTTCCAGAAGTACCAGTCTACTTTTTAATTATGAATACTGCAGAAAAAACAGTATGTAACACTCCGATTAAGTATTCATCTACCTTTGCCTGGACCCAACATACCCTATCTTGCCTTCCCCTCATCTTAGTAAATGATGTAAAATTCAGCTGTTCAGAACCTATGAAGTTGCAGCATGAGAGCTGCTGTTAATAAAGAATTCTGCCTTTCCATTCAAAAGCAATGCCTACTGCAAGCATGGGGATGGATAAGAAAGTGGTCCATTACTTTTTTACCTTGTTTCCATAAGAGGTAAAAGGGGTATGGGCTGAAGATTGGGAAGAGAGAATGTGGATCAGCTGCAAATGAAGATTGGTTTATTTTCCTGTTTTTATTTGCAGCCCATCTTGTATTGAAACAACTCTGGGCATCTAGGGAGTATTATCTGAAGCAAACAGTGCATAATGTACATAATGTACAATTCTTAGCTGTAGTCTTGGAAACAACTGTTTGATTACCATTTTAACTTTCCCCCCTCCAACTCTTGTCCCTAAATTGCCAGAAAGGATTTTAATCCTGGCCTGTATGCGTGACACATCTGCAGCCTAAAAATAGCCCCCTCTTCCCAGTTCCTGCAGCTGCTGCACCCATTATTACTAAGGAAATACTTCTTTAGTCATAATCTTCAGGGTCTGTGTTCAAAGTGCATGTGGGGTAGGGAAGTAGAATTAGCATCTGGTTTCAGGAGTAGCAACATATGTATTTAATATTTTACTGCTTGTAGCAGAAAACTGTCCAAACAAAATCTATCAGGCCTGTGCAAAGTTAAGCAATATGAAGGTGTTGGCTGCCATTTTGCAGTCAAGGGTGTTATGATAGCAGACTGAGTAGTTCGCATTCTCTTGTACAGGTTTAAAAAAAGCAAACCATAAACATGCACACCAGGAGGAGCTATAATATATACAGAACAGATAAATGAAAGTTTGTGAGTTAGGTGGATACCAGAACTGCTTGCTTAGTTGATGCTGCATTAGCTAATTGCAGATTTATAAGGTATCTGTACTGATTCTCTTTCTGGTTCTGTGTTCCACCCCTTCTTCCTATGGGGAGGTGCCTCTTTTCAGTTGTACAAATATTGGAATACCTTCATATCACTAGCCTCTCTTACATGTTGTCTACAGTAGTACTGCTTAAAAGAAGCTTTGTGGAAATTGGTTTTAAATTGTACAGTTCTAAGAATTACCATCTGGGTAATTCAATAAATAAGGCCTTGATTGCACTGCCATGACCACAGTCTGCATTTTTTTGACCCCCCCCCCCCATCATGGTTCCTTGACCTCCAACCCCCACAGAAAAGAACTGCTCCTTACTCCCTCCCCCAGCAATATTTTTTGTACATATTGTTTGTGTTATGTGCTCCTGGCTACTTTCCTTCATGACCAGAGGCAAGCTCACCTGACCAATAACCAGCCAAGACACAGTGAAGGCCTTTTGTTTCGTTTATTGCAATAAGCGGGGAGAGAAGCTATCAAAGCTTGGTTCTCTCCAAAGTTCCAACCCAAAATATTTCCTTCTTTATACAATCCTTGTCCCGGCCGCACATCCCTCCTCTTTCCCCATTGGCTGAGGTACTATGAGGTTACACTCTTTCCAACCGCCTCTTACACATTTCCTGATAACATATTAAATCATATTCACATATACAATAATAAGAAGAAAAATTAGACATTTAAATGGTTATTTTAAACTCTGGATATTTATGTCCCCCTTTTAGAACAATAGGTTCTTTCCTATTTTTCAATTCAACATGTCTTTCCTGGCTAGCCATTTCCTCTTACAGCTATATTTTTTATAGTTTGTCTTCTTCCTTTTCCCACTCTAAGACCCAGCTATTTTTGCCTATCTGTTTATCTTACTTCCTTTCTTTATGCTCTCCTTTCCTGGTTCCCAACCATTATAGGTTTTTTTTCTCTACTCAGTAAATTTCCACTGCAGCAAATTCAATTTTAAATTTCTCTTTCAATATTAAATTTTGAAGACCTTTCTTTTACTTCTATCAAATCCACCCATTTTAATTTTTATTACACTGAAAGGTCTTCATTATCATGCTTAGAAAATCTTATAACCATTAACTGTATAATTTCTTCTTTTCCTAAGGCTTTCCTAAAGCTTTTCCTACAGCTTTGGTTAAAGTAGATGCACATAAAGGAATACATTGCAGACATGCACAACACATAAGTCCTATAACTACTTTCCTGATTCCTTTTGCAATATCCATTACTGCTTCATGATTGTCATCTACCTTTAAATCCCACAAACAAATTTTTACCTTTATTTCCCAGGTTGCTCTGTTGTGTTGTCTTCAGTAATATTAGAATTAGAATCCACCCCTCATGATTATTTCACAATATTTCACTCCCACAAATTGGTCCATAATCACAACAATAATAACAGCTACAGCAATCACAGTGACAATAACAAAAGATATACATTTACCACCTAATTCTTACAATTTACAATTCTACGTTTTCAGTTTCTAATGGTATGACTTCTGTCTTAGTTATTCATTTTATTTGTAACAAACCACTTTTACTTCTCTGATGAGTCACCACCAACATCTTTGTTCTTCATCTGGGGTCACCTGAAATTCTAATTGAGATATTCAAAATAGGTAGGGGTTCTGGTCCACTACCCATTCAAGTCCTTTTAAACGTGGCTTTCAGTCCTTGTCCTGGAATAACCATCCAACCTCTTTCAGGTCCAGTCACCACCTTTGCTCGTGTGTAGTGAGTCCAACTCGTCTCAGCCCTCCGGACAGCAGATTTAACATAAGGAACTTCCCTTCTTTGGTTGTAGAAGTTCCTCCTTCCATTTGCAAATCAGCACCCACTGTCCCGGCTGGATCTTATGGACTGGAAATTCCAAAGGAGTTGTTTGCGCCACCAAGCCTTCCTGTCAAAGAGAAGACAGAGACCCCAGTACTTGTTCTACATTTAGCTATTTGTCTCCCCCTTTGGGAGCCTTAACCCTTTATTAACCCTTTTACATATCAAACATCCCTCTGTAGCCCTTTGGGCTATCACATAAATTCCAAGGGTAGCATAGAATTTCAAATACATTTCTACCTATGCTTTAATTCCCCAATGATTCCATATAGTTTTTGGATCACCATTCTTGCAGTACCTTGTGATAACCACAGAATCCCCTTAAGACCATTTTTGTTGTTTGGTAATTATAAATCTACTATAACTTCAATCCTTTTACTATCTATTTTCCTTTCCCCTTCAACTATAATATATCCTAGATATTTTACCTCCTTTTCTACCAATTGGGCTTTATTTGCTAGACACCCTCAATCCTTTCTTCTGCCAAAAAGTTGCTTTCTCATTTCTTTATAATTCCCAGAATAAGATCTTACAAAACTGGGAAGCTACATAAGAATATATTTGCTTCCACAGCTTAAAAGTGTAGGAAAGAAAAGAAAGAAAAAAAATCATTTGTCCTGTGTCAGATAGACTATACTTGTCCACGGAAGCTCTATCAAAAATGGTCACATTTTCCTTTCTTCTCCCCCTTTCACCCTGATTAGATACCATGTTACAAAAATATAACTCAATAAACATTGTAAATAACACATTCAGGATTTTAAAAGGTAAAGCACATAGGCTCACCGATCAGCATTGGGCCAACATTTTCTGGAATGCTTTTTGTCTCAGGCAGATAATATTCAAATCACTCTTGTGGCAGCACATAAAACAGGATAGGTAAGAAGACAAAAGATTGTCTCCCCCTTCCCCCACTCACCAAACCAGACAGAGTAAAAATTTATACAAAACTTTTGCTTGAAACAGCCCTCAGAAGGAAAATTGCCATAACATTTACAGAAGTGGCTTGCCAAAACCTCCCTCCTAGGGCTGAACAAAAATAAGCCAGCCACAAAACACTCAGCCAACCCTCATGGCCAAAGCAGGATTTGAACTCAAATCCAGCCTTGCAGCCTGTAGCTA